CTCTCTCTCTCTCTCTCTCTCTCTCCCTCTCTCTTCTCTCCCTCTCCCCTCCCCCTCCCCATATCTCTCTCTCTAGCCATCTCTCCCTCCCCCCTTCCCATCTCTCCCTCTCTCTCTCGCCATCTCTCCCTCTTCTCCCCTCTCCCCTCTCTCCTCCTCCCTCTCTCACCTCCGTCTGTTGGGTCCGTCCGTAGCAGCCCACCATCAGCTGACCGCCGTTGAAGGGCCAGTGCTGAGACCCATGTAGCCGACCTCGTCCAGGTCAATACCGACCTCCTCTGCCACCTCGCGGCGGATACACGACTCGATCGTTTCACCTGAGGCATAGAGAACAGACAGTCATTGTCTTCGTGAGAGATGTTTTAAAACTCTAAATATTTTAAAATGTGTATCACGTACGTCGTATGGAGCTGACCGACGAACCTTGCTTTTACTTTACCGCTCTCTGGTACGTTCAAAGCTCGACTACGCAAGTTTCATTTATGACAGCGCCAGCGAGTCGCGTAAGAAAATGCTTGACACCATTCACCATGCCTCACTTCGCGTTGCTACGGGTGCATTCCGTACTTCGCCAACAAGCAGCGTTCTGGCTGAGGCTCACGAGCCACCGTTATCTCTCCGTCGCCAGATGTTGGGCATGCGGTAAAACTTCGTCAATTTCCCACCTAATTCCCGGCGAAGACCCATTTTCCCGCCTGGTGCCCGAAATGTTTCGAACCCATCCAATCCAATTCCATGTCCAAAAACACTTGGTTTCAGCCGTTTCAGGTATTTTTCACCAGATTCCTATGGTTCCTGTTGTTCCCATTCCTTCATCTAGCTTAGCTCGAGGAACCCTGCCACGCAGCTGTAAATGCTCGGCAGAACCCCGATACTCCCCTGGTTCCCATTGGTTCCCTTTCCGTCCTCACCTGGCTCGAGGAACCCGGCCACGCAGCTGTACATGCCGGGCGGGTGTCGGCCCTGACGGACCAGCAGTGCGCGCGTCTGGGCGGCGTCCGTGATCATCGTGATACCGACCGGTGACGTCATCGGGTACTGGACGGTCTCACACGACGGACAGCTAGGGATATAGGGGTGAAACGTCAGTGGGTACAGTACGGCTCAACATGATGAACAGTTGGAAACACATGTGGAAACGTCACTGGGTATAACTGCACGGCCTCACACAATGTACAGATGGCGACACGAGGACGTTATTTCATAGGGTGCTGCATAGGCTTCATACGACAGCCGGGGACACAGAACGGTGTGATATAATTGAAGGAATAGAGGGAATAATGTAAGAGACCTTTGATAACAAAAGCAGCAGTGGAGACTACATATTTGATATCCACTGTGTGACATAAAATATGTTCATCCCACGGCCTAATGGCGCGTCAAAAACAGTACTGACTCCTGATCTTTAGGAACCCTGAACAATCTGTAAAATCTTGGCATAAAACACAAACAAGCGAAAAAATATAAATGAAAAAGTTACGAGTAATTTGAGCTCGGGCTTGTCCTTCGATACGTCCGGCGCAACCAGCACTATTCTCTGGGAATCCCGGCCATCATCCGTCTCCCATTTTCCACCTACCGGCGGTAGGGGGAGGATGTTCACTGACTTTTTGGCGTGTCCGGCCGGACGGGAGCGCAGCGGCTCCACAGCCCGGACAGAAGTTGATCGTGTCGCGCCAGTGCAGCATCGAAAACGCCTGAGGGAGAGAGCGGCGCGAGGGAGGGTTATCACGGGAATAACTATTTGATAAACCTGGTCACAGCGACACCAACCAAGTGGTAACCAGTAAAAACGGTACCGACGAAATAATTTCAGACAGATAATATAAGCACAGAGCATAACAAATACATCAAGCACCGGAAGTAGCCATCGCATGGTGGATAATTCGCGCACGACATTGGCTTTCACATACGGCATGTAACAAAAAACTGAGCAAAAACATTGTTTACCACACAGTTTACCAAAGTCTGTAATAGGTGTAATAGACTCGTTTGTTTGTTTGTTTTGTTGGGTTTGGCCCTTTCGGTCCAATGAGACCATTTCAGAGCCGGGAGGATGATAGGATATAGGGGGAGACATTGGTTGGGCAGGCACCCTAGTGAGTCGCCGGGGCTGAGCCCGTCCAGAGGACAGGCCACCCAGCCCCAAGGCACTCACTGCACCCGGCTACGGGGTGCGCTCCCTCGGGAGCAGCGGTGCCGCTCCAAGGGAGCAGCCCGCATGAGATAAAGTTGCTGTCCAGCCCGGAGGGGGGTTGCGGCGTGGAGGAGAAGGATTTCTGTTTCCTGAGGATAGAAGCACGGAACGGTGCATGAATAGACTCGTAACAGTCGTAACTACCTCAAGCCCGGGGAACAGCCCCGAGCGATACCTCCCGGGGCTACTCACGTGCGACATTGTGCAGGCCTCCTCCCAGGGCAGCAGAGAAACAGCGCCGCTCGCGGGTCGACAAACTTCCCACCGAGCGCGGCCTGAGCCGCGGCCGCGACACCAGCGCCGCCTGGCAGGTCGGCCGTGAAACACGCCTGGCCCGTGTCGGCCACATTGAGAAGGATGGAGCGGCTGGCCAGGTCCTCAGATGGGTAGAGACGCTGCAGGTCTGAAATCGGGCAAAAGTGTGGAAGGAATGTAATTATGGCTGTCAGAAATGTCACTGTTGTGCTAACACCATAATTGTTAAATGCTAAAATCAATAGAGAAATGAATCTGTTTTAATTTACTAAATCAAAGGACAAAACCAAAAAGTATTCAACCAAAAAATAACCATCACAGTCAGTAGTCACCACAGTCCTTGCTTGAATAAACATTTACAAAACCAACAAACCAACCAAGTGAACTGGACTGGAGCCATGCCCTTCCCCTTACAATGCAGCCAATCATCATCTTTCCAGTCTCTGTCAGAGCAAGCATGTCATATGCCTGACAAAAGGGAACATGGTAGCAGCCTCACCTGAAAAACTGATCCACCTGAGTGTCTGTGCAGTCTGTCCCATTTCAGGCATAGAAATCAGGGGCTTCTTGGCCACAAATGGCAGCACTCTGCCAGATTCTCGGACTTTGACAATTCTGAAAACAGCAATTTATATTATCCACTTGTGTGAATTATGAAAAATTGTAAATATCAAAAGGTATGCATCAAACTGTACAAAATGAAGTCTAAAAAATAACATCTGAAAGCATTCAATAGCTTACTTGTCATCATCCTCCTTCAAGGCCTGCAGAAGTTTGATTCTCTGCACGTAACTCAATGTTGACATGGACCTGTGTCGTAAAAGCACCTGGAAGCTGCTGATTATCCCATATGCTGGTAGGAGAGCCTTGCAAGATATCATGATGATGTCCTTCCTGTTTCAGCATAAAGATGCAAAGTCAGCACTCTGAAAAATGGAAACCATGTCTCAATTAAAAGAGAAAATGCTAAGCAATACTGATACAAAAAAAACTTCTGACTTGTAAAGAAGGTCCTCAGGATAAATGTCAACCAAAAAACAATACTTTAAAGACCACCGGAAAATTACTGTTGAATCCAAGGCTATGTTGAATCCTTAGTTGAATCATAGTTTCTTCTCCTTTCCACAGCTTTTATTAGGTAGTTCTACTTTGGACTTTTGGAGCGCTTTCAGTTTGGCTGCTGTTGTCACACTGTTGACCAAACGAACAAAGAGGCAGAGAGAAACAGGCGGAGAATGAGCGCCAGCAGCAATAAAAATACGGGTGGAAATTAAGGGTTTTTAAAATAACCATATAACTGATGCAAACATAGTGATAGCAAACCAAAACCAACTGGCTGTCTTTCACGCTGATACCAAGCTGATACCGGCTGATACGGGGCAAATACGGGGAACATCCGAAGACATATTTTGTAGTAAATGCGCCATTAATGAACGAAAGCAATCTCAAACACAAGGCTACTAAATAAAAATCACTCAAAACATCATATAATTAAAAAAATAGATATTTAGATAACCAAGATAACTAGTATTTGAAACCTCCATTCGTATTGTACATATGCCAACTAATTTACTGGCACTTAAGAACACCAAAAAATAGAGGTTGAATGTATCCTTTTATAAGCAAAGCCGCATAACGTGCCAGCAGGGGCGACTCCAGGAACTAAAGCTGGTGGGGTCGAATCATGCACGCATGCTTTTGGGACTGTTCGTCTCGACTCTTTCATGCTCAGACAGTCACACCGATAATGTTATGCAACTGATGTTTTTGAATATGAATGATGTAGCATCTGACGTTCATATAAACTACACAATACACATCTTACGTGCTCCCAGTAGGGCTGCGGACTGCGGAAGTCGATGGATTTTAAGGTGACCCCGACTCCGACTCTGTCTTCGGCTTCAAAAATCGACTCCCACTCCGACTCGAACTCCGACTCCGACCCCGGATGGTTCTATTAAAATCCATATCATGATATTGAAGTTCATAACTAATGGAGATGTTTTTATATTGCCTGAAACGATCCCGTGTGCGTTCCAAGGCTTTGCGTTGTAAATAGGTATGCATTAAAAATAACAGTGCAGAATTAAGAAGCAGCTTCTGGGGCATTCACCGTCTTCTGCTTCTTTCGCTGGAAACGTTCGTCCAAAACAGAAAAATTGCCTTTTTTCGACCAAAATCTAATTTCGAGTGCAGTATCGTCAATCAACCAGGTGCAGTGCATGACGTTGAGCCATGCAGCGTTAACTCCGACCCCAGAGTCGGAATCGGTAAGATTTTGGCGACTCCGACTCCGACTCCGGGAAGAAACTGTCGACTCCGACCGGCTCCAACTCCGACTCCAACTCCGACTCCGCAACCCTGCTCCCTACAGCACCAATTAGGTACTATGGTACCTAATAAGTAATTTATCATGATCTTTATTCTTTGCAAAGAATAAAGATAAAGGGGCGGACGCCGGTATATTATTTCGGTCCAGCCTCAAATGTCAAAAAGACCTCTACGGTTGTGCGTGAGTGCCGGGTGCCCCAAAAGTATCCATAGATATAAATCCTCGTCTCTTTCTGTAAAAACAAACATGTGATATAGATATACACACAACATTCCTAGAATGTCAAAAATGAAATGATTTCGAAACAAAAAAATGTAAACGGATGACGTAATTTACACTGGAGATGTGAAATATGCATCCTATTCCATGTGAAAAGTGAAAACTTTCCTCCATCGAAAAACGCAGGCCAGTGCCGTTAAATACAACCTAGAAAAGCAGCATCATTTTTGACGACTGTGAGCTAGACGGAAACAATTCATGTACTTCCTCATATATTTACAATTTACATACACATTACACACAGTTTTCGTCGGAACTGCGCGCAACACACCTTGCTGTCAGCCATAACGGCATTTATCTGTTTATCACGCGTGACATGCAGCCGATCATTTTTCCAAAGCGGGCCTATCATGACCATTATGCTGATTATATTACAACGCACGTGCACTAATTCATAGCATATCCTCAAATTTACATAAAATAAGATAACGTGACACTCCCCGAGAATTACATCCGTCTGATTCCTAAGGCAAAGTTCATATGACAAAATTGCAGATTATCTGAATGTTGTTCGTTATGCGAGACCCACCCACATTATCTGGAACTCTCTGACAAGTCCTCTGGAAAAGTCGCGCGACCACAATTACAAGCAATGTACACAGGATAATCCTGTGTAATGCATGCTTCAGATATGAACGCAATAAACCGTCTTCCGCGTGAAACATTATGTAATGTTGTGTTGAATAATCTTAGAGGCGTGATTACCGAGATGTCTGGTGTGAAGGTGACTTTCGTGTCAGGGCGGGGATGCGAAAACTGGTCTGAAAGATACTTAAGCAAGCTGCGGGAAGTACATGATTGTTAAAAATTTCCAGTTTAGAGAAATAAACTGCGCCGCATAGGCGTTACCTGTCCTTACAGTTGACACCAACATGTGTTTAGTGTTTGCTGATCATATCGTGGTAATACCTGCCTGTTCGTTGGTGCGTTAAAATAAGCTGATGCTTATCACCGTAGAACAGAATCAGATATCTCCGTTCAGACTGTGTGATCACGAGTCAAAATATTTGTGTTCGCCAAAAAGCATCAATTACGTTTTAAACTTGGTCGAACAAAAAACAACACCTCTCATCAAATGGGCTACTGGTAGGCACTGACATTATAGACTACTGTGCTCAGTTTTTATCCTCTTTTTATTTAGAGACGTCCAGCAAACCGGCCGTCTATTTAGGTATGTTTCTTGCTAATCAAGTATGGGTCTATTGATCGGATTATTTTGTAGTTACTAGTTAGTCCTTTTTAATGGACGATTACTGAGAAGGTACCCAATACCCTTGGCACTGACTTTGACCTTCACTTTCTTAGTCTTGGGTATTTTTATATTCATTTTCGGTCCCGATGACTTAGCTCGAAATTAAGAAGTCAAGCAATGGAAAAGACAGACATAATCACGTTATCCTTTTATATAATTCTGTCGGGAAATTACACCATCTCGTCACATTCGGAAGTCTGAATACTGAACATAACCGGAAATTCCAATCAGCAGGTTTATATAATAAATAAGACGACGTCTCGACGGGGAAGGACCGGTTGGAAAATCTCAGCGATTCTTTGAGCAGAAAACATAACTTATGTAATAAAGCTAGCCAGGGTGCGACACTCGACAGTGAGCACTGAGCAGTTCAGCTTAATTTTCAACTACATAATTAATATGGCGCTTTCATTCATACCGATTGAATATCGATATTTTTTATCATTAGATAATGTGATTGCTTTCAACTCTCAGACCATCGGCTTACCGCTAAAAATATTGTTCTTGTTTCCGGCTGAGCCGATTGCGCCACCATTTGGTATAGGGACTTAGGTTAGGGGCAGGCTACAAGGGTGCCGTGAAAAATATGTTGACCCATGTTTTACTGTGCACGTGCAAGTTGCAACGTGCAGGAGCCCGCTTCGACAGCTCGAAAACGGCTGGGCCGATTGCGCTCAAATTTGGAATTTTGGTAATTTTCAAAATGAAGTGGCCCAAATGCGAACTAATAAAAGATGGGGTAGTTTGGTTTTGATTACCCAAGCTGCCCTCCCCTCCACGGTTGGATAAAATGGAATGAAGGCAAAAATAGGTGAGCCACTTTGGGTGGGCCGACGAAATTTACTTAGCGTAAAAAATTCATAGGGGTAGCTCTGAACTCTGATGTCTGATATGGTGGCATTCCTCTCATTTCCTTTAAAGTGACTATCCCACCTAACATTAGTTTTGAGCTGAGATAGTCAAATTGGGGTCCCTAGCCTGCAATTACCGATTTGGGCAATCACAACGAAAACTGTTTTAATTCGGAAATATTAAAGGTAGTGTGCCACCTTTGAAAGATTTCCCATTTTATTTTTCCTAGGATAAGAAGCTTCTGTTTTTACCTAATATCGCAAAAAAAATCAAAAATGGGCCTGGATTAGTGCCTTTTTCGCCTAAAAGTTTTTCGGTTTTTAGATATGTATAACAACTGTAGTGGGCTCACCTGCAAACAGGCGTCGGGCAACAATCGCGAATGCGGCGCACTTGTGACAATAAGCAAAGGTCATTATAGTGTTACGACCATACGACGTACAGTCTGTCTTAAAAGTACCGCGCAAAGTGACGGTGGATCCATCAAGCCTGACCGAGGAAGGGCCTGCTATAATTTGAAAGTCACCGAACCAATGGAGCTGGGGAATGGACGAGGATGTCCATTGCTTCGGTGACTCAAATTTGGCAGTCCTTCATCGGTCAGGCTTGATGGATCCACCGTCACTTTGCGCGGTACTTTTAAGACAGACTGTACGGGAATGAGTTATCAGCTGTCTAATCGTAGACAACACAATGTCGAGCCTTAAACTGTAAGCCCGTATTGGTATTGTTTCTTTTATTTGGCTATCGAACATTATTTATGGTTTCAAATATGATTTTATGTAAAATAATTGATATGAAAAAGCCGTCTTATAAGTTATGACCCCATTTCACCACACGCAAGTGGCAGAAATGACAATGATCAGCTGACGCATTTTTCTTGGCCGAAGTCAGAGCGCGCGGCCCGACGCACCACGCGTATTTGGAAATTCCGACCTCGACGAGCATCAGAAGCCACCTAACAGGCGTGTTCGAAACCGCAGGAGATGATGATGAACGGGTTTATCGAAACTTGATTGGATGAGCATATCGGTAATAGCGATTTCAGTGTGTGCATTTATTGTTCATAGTGGTGTGAAATGTGGTTGGGGTACGACCGACAACCCGTCGGGGCGAATTTCGCACTGGGGTACTCAAAATTTGAAGAATTTAAGACGTTTCCATGAGTTTTGAAGGTATGGATAAGTTCTAAAAATCCGGTTCTCCTTATCTGGGC